TTCGAATCTGTTGGAAAAAAAAAAAAGAAAAAGAAAGAAAAAACGGGTCTTTGTGCGGTACTACAGCAGGAAACATCCCATGCTGTTACGAGCCTTTTCAAAAAAAAAAAAAACCTCAAAGATTGAACATTGAAGCTGTAACTGACCGAGTGACGGACTGATTGGGAAGACGTGTAAGAGTCTTTTTTTTTCTTTTTTCTTTTAAATCTCCCTTTTTTCTTTTAATCTCCTTTTTTAAGAAGACAGGTAATAGTTGCGATACCTCGCTCGTCGGTACTGCACTTTTTTTTTTTTTTGTTAAGTCGGTACTGCACTTTGATCCTCATGCGTGAAGCGTGAAAGCAGCAACAGGATGTAGGGACTGATTGCACGCACCGCAGCATTCGCCATCCGCCAAGTTTTTCAATGCATCTCGACGAATGACATGTCCTGATGCATTCAAAATGTTGGCGGGTGGCGAGGGGAGCAACAAAGCCCTTAGGCCCATAGGTTATGCGCTGGAATACTTGCCAATGGATGCTTGTGCTGGCGCTTGAGGGGAGGAGAATTTGCACCACTTGTCATCCGAGAAGATGTTGAATGAATCCGGACAGAGTTCATGTCCACATGCATTCAAATTGTTGGTGGATGGCGAGAGAGGTGCAACTAGGCCCTGAGAGGAGGGGAAGGCAGATGGCCGTCGGTTGATGTATGGATATTAGGGGGTGGCGCAAGGCTTGTTCGGTGATGAAAAAGCCCACTGAGGAGCGCGCCAGGTACATACACGCGTCTGGCCGAAGCGCGTGTGGGAGAGTTAGGGCGTCGCTCCGCTATTCCCAAGACGCACAAAAGACAAATCGTGGCGGTGTATCTTTCCATGTTATAGCGGAAGATTCACTCTCGGTTTTTGCACATTGTTAGAGTAATCCAGCGAGACCCTTAGAGAGAGCGTTTGCTGAGAACAGCGGGTGCGGTCTTGTAACGAACTTTTTTCTGGCAAGATACTCTTGTTCGCTGTAGTAGGGCTCTTAGATAGGGAGACAGGGGAAGGAGAGAGAGAGAAGGTTGCTTGCGACAGCTCCACGTATCGCAATGTTTGCACCCTGCCGTTCTTTCATTGTTCTTCGTCATCATCTCCGTCCTCATTGTCGTTTGCCATCTTAACTTCTCTTGGGGGGAAGGGTCACCCAGAGAGAGAGCGAGAGAGAGAGAGAGAGAGAGAGAGAGAGAGAGAGAGAGAGAGAGAGAGAGAGAGAGAGAGAGAGAGATGGTTCACAACAAGGCCACGTGGCGGGGTATTTGGCCCCATCGTTGTTTTTCGGTTTGGAAAATGGTCGGAGGTCGTTGTTGGCCGCTGGTGTGAATCTACGGTCACCATTGAAGAGTGGAGGCATGAAAGAGCAAAAAAGAATGATGAAGGCAAGTTGTTTAACCTTTGGTTCTGTGACTCTCTGGTCCAGACAGGTTAAAAAATCGAGGTAAGTGGGATAAAAAGCAAGAAGAATGCGAGTGTAAAGCTCATTTCTGTCGTCTGATCCTGCGCCCAGTTGTGTCTGTTGTTGCAAAAAAAAGGAACGACATTATTGTTTATGAACTGAGCACCCGGGAACCGCGACAGGATAAGTAGCGCCAACAACAGCAACATTCGGAAAAAGGTGGATGGCCGACTTTTAGGAGGGGGAGAAGATGGAGCGCGCTAGGAGAAGCAGGAGGAGCAGGAGGAGCAGTGGCCCTTGCACAAGAGAGATGTATATCCTCCATAGCCGTCAAGCCAAAAAACCGTGAGGCGGCGAGTCGGAGGAGGACGAAGAAGAAGATATGTTGCTTCTGCTTTTTTATTTTTCTATTATCTTTAGGGAAGGTCCCAGCAAAATGAGAAGGAAAAAAATCCAAAAAGTCTGAAAAAAAACTATGTTATGCAGAAAAATAAACTGAACAACTTTTGCCTCAGGGTCACATCGAAATTCTTTTCCAAATTTAAAATAGAAAATAAAATTATGTTTTTTATAAGGCAGATTTTCATGCCCGGCCGGGCCTGGCACCTTGGCGTGACGCCTGGGGTACCCGGACGTATTAAAAAAAATAAAAATAGAAATAAAATTGCCTTTCTGTGGTCTTCCAGAGGACCCCAAATCCGGGCTCTTTCCATTTTTTGAGAGTTGGCTGTCAAGGGCGGCGAAGGGGTGTATAAATTTGTTTTAAAGGGGCTAAGGGGGGTTAAAGGGGGGTGCGTTAGTGTGATTTTTTTTTTTTTTTTTTCTCCGATTCGGTGAGGAATTGTGATGTGACCGTCAGCCAAAAGTTGTTTGTATTGCAATTCTACACAACATTTTTTTTTTCTGGAATTTTTTGACTATCTTTTTTTTTTTTTTTTTTTGTTACCCTGGGACTGCCCGGAACCCTGCCCGGGGGTCATGCCCGGCCGGGCACCCAGGCGTGTATCCGGGCAGAAGTTGGGTGCCCGGGCGCCCGGAAAACAACCTTTTTTTTTTCATTTTTGTTGGCCCGGCCGGGCAAGTGGTCCCGCGCCGCTCTGGTAGCCTAGTAATGTATCTTTTTTCTTTTTGAATGGTTCTGAAAAACTCAGATCTGAAAAAAAAAAAAAAACTCAAGTCTGCTGTTGCTGTTAGCAATGTAGTTCGATATCTTCCTCGCTTTGGTATGGTATTGGCGCGAAAAAGCTCAGACGTTAGACTTACATCCTCGGTGGGTCTTATTATCCACTAAAAAATCTATCTATAACTTCCCGATTTTGTCATGGACAAAAGAGGAAAAAGTGACAGACACCCGATAGGATCACAGGGTTGGCGTGATGGCAAGGCAGTGGAGAGTTCTGCATATCGCAGGGGAGCTTGGGCTGGCGATGGCCACGAAGAGGAGAAGCAGGGATCTCACTCAAACGCCGCAGCGTATAACCACACTTGTACGTTTTGGGCGAAGAAAGTATCGGTTAGCATCTGTGATATAGCTGCAATGGTTGCTGTAAAAAGTGAAAAAGGAGCAATTGATTTAATTCAAATTTTCTTTTTTTGAAGTATTGGTTAGTGAAGAAAGTAGTTATCGGCCCTAAGAGCACGTAGTGCTGCTGCTATAACCGCAAATCGGGTTTTTGTTAGAGGATCGGATAGCAAGCAAAGAAAGCCGCATCACAGCGCAGTGGTGTAAGTACGCAGTTATTTAATTTCATTTTGTTGTTGGTAAATTAGCTTCCTCGTTATGGGACCAGTCACCGTGTTGTAGGGGAAGATCCCACTAGCAAAGAAGATTGAATCAAGCCCCTGAATCTGGATGGGTTCTAAGCCGAGATGCAGAAAAGCAGATGGACAGCTGTGTTCTGCACTTTTCCACAAACACGTCAAGATTCAGGCGATCCGTCCAATCGACTTTTTTGCTGGTGGGATCTCGCCCATAGCTGCAATTGCTGCAGTGAGAAAAGAAGCAGCAATTTAGGCTGCCAGCCGGGCCGCCGGGGTCACCTTGTTTGCCCCGGCGGCCCGGCCGTGCAAGGAACATTGAAGGTCTCAGCAAAAATAAAATAAAAAACTTCCAAATATTTTGAAAAAAAAACTATGTGATGCAGAAAAACGAACTGAACAACTTTTGCCTCAAGGGCACTTCGAAATTCTTTGCCAAATTAATACACAAATTAACAAATAATATATACATTATATATCGTCACAAACAGAACTGCCCGGTAAACCGTAGGCAGAGAGAGAGAAGAGGACAACAAACGAGGGGCCGACTCATCAGGGGGCTGAACCCTCAACAGTCTGCAGAATCCCCGTTACTAGGCGGCCATGCTGTGCCTCTAGTGCCAGCGGCGTGTCTGGAGTGTATTTTTTGTCTGTGACAGACCTTTCTTTGTTTCGTGGATGTTTTGCTGGCTTGTGATGGGGTGCGAACCGCGACAGTCTGTAGAGTTTTCCATCTGGTGTGGGTGAGTGATAGTCTACTTTGATTTTGGTTAAGGTAGATTATCATTTACAGTGTAAACAGTGAGGGGATTCTGCAGACTGAGGGTTCAGCCTCCTGGTGAGTCGGTGAAACTCCGACGAAACAGTTTGTCACAGCATTATATTTTTTATATATATATAAAAGCATCGTCCAACTTAGCTTCCAAGCGCGCTGTTATTATATTTTATCTCGTTTTAGTAATAACTTATCTATCTCCGTTTTGGCAGAACCTACGAGGGAGCTGCAATTTTGCTGCAGTAAGAAAAGCAGCATATTGTTTTTATTTTCTCAATTTTTTTGGTATAATTATCATCTAGGACTGAAGCAGCAGCAGTGTGAATTCGCTCTTATTTTATTTCCTTTCATTTTTTTTTTTTTTACGTGCCTATCTCATTTTGGGCCGACTCTACGATATAGCTGCAATTGCTACAGTAAAATAAAACAACAGAAATGAATTTTGGCAGAATTATCATCGAGGACGGAAAGCCGCAGCAGTGTGGTTACTCTCTCATTTGATTTTATTCCGTGTTTTTGTAAACTTGTCTATCAACATGTCAACATGAGCATCACGCTTCTGTGATACTGTGCTAACCGTCGAGAGGGGGGGGGGGGGGGGGGGGGGGGGGGGAGACGTCTGTTTCCTTCTTTTTCTTGCTTGTTTACTTTGGATGTTTGCTTGCGATTGCAATGACATGATTTATTTTCGTGCATGAGCGCATAGTGTTGGCCTCGCTATCTCCTCCTGCACCTTTTTCTTTGTCTCTTTTTTTTTTTTTTTTTTTTTTTTCCCATAACACAATGTCGATTCATCCAATTTCGTCAAAAAAGTTCGATGCTTCTTGAGGCTTTCGTTCTGTTTGATTCTGAAAAGGCTACCGTCTTCGCCGGAAACATAACGCACCCTCATTGTGACTGTATTAGACCGGACAAGATAGCTGGTACACACTCATAATCATCAGGGTGCGTCTTGTTCGGGGTGAAGAAGACGGGCTAGATAGATGGTCAGCATAGATTATAATGTTATATATTTTTCGGTGGAATCCTTCGGTGTATTCTGAATTTGGCAGGGGGAAAGTTTTCTTGCCGTGGCCAATCTGCGGACCAAGCTGGACTGCATAAAAAGGAGTCTTTCTTTTCTTTTTTTACTGAAAAGGCTGAAGGAAGGGGAGAGAGATCAAGGCCGAGGGCTTGCAAGTTGAACGGAGTGATCATCAAAGATGGGCAGTGGAGAGGACTCTCCTCCTCCCTCTCCGAGGGGGCCAGCAGCAGCAGCAGCAGCAGAAGAAGAAGAAACAGCTGTACCTGGAGGGGAGGTAACCCCCCCTTCTGGTGGACCATCGGTCATGTCTTCTGCGTCAGGAGTTACAGTGGAGAGGCAGGGGGAGGGGGAGGTGACTCCCCCCTCTCCTTCCCAACGCCTCCAGTCGATTACTACCCCAGCAGCAGCAGCAGCAGCAGGTGCCACAGGAGCATTGGACGGGGGGCCTGGCCACGGCATCACGCCCAGTGGGGGTGGTCGGCATGTGACCCTGACACCCCCTCCCCCTCCTCCCTCTGGCCCCCCTCCTGGTGCGATGAGGGCTCCACAGCTTCAGCCCATCCCTAGACCTGCGACAAGGCGACCTGCTGGCAACAACGGGCGATGGATTGAGCGGATGATCAATGCAAACTACTACCGAATGGTCGTGGAAAGACCTGTGGAAGTTTGGCAGTACCAGGTAGGTTGAATAATAATAATAATAATAATAAGGGACAATTTGCAATATACCCCGATAAGTTGAGATACATACCAAAATGGCCCTGAAAGATGTGGGCAGAGCGGAATGCCCTTTTGGGCCGAAATCTTTGTGTTGTGCCTCTGTCAGGCGGGTGTGCAACTTCGCAATCTGGACCTCCCCTGTTTGGGCCTTGGCCTTTTGCGAAAATAGCGCCTAGGAAAAGTCGGCAAGTGCTGGGGCGTATTGCAAAGTTGGACAATATCCGGTAGGGGTATGTTGCAACGATGGTGTCAAACCGACGCCAGGGGTATTTCACAAAATATTTTGTTTTTTGCAGAGGGGCATTCCGCTCTACCCACATCTTTAAGGGTCATTTCGGCACATATCTCAACTTATGGGGGGTATTTTGCAAAATTATCCTTAATAACAATAATGATGATGATAATAGTAGTAATAGTAGTAGTAATGAACTTTTAGGCAGAAAATGTGTTTTTCATGCTTCTTGGGCATTATTAATGGATGTAAATGAGAATTGAGTTGTAATCCTGTTGCTCAAACCTCTGCATGTTCTGGCCTTGGGAAATTGGTCCGTCATAAAGTTTTTTCTTTTTTCTTTTTTCTTTTTTCTCTTGCGAAAATTCTAGCTGTAATAGCGAGAGGCCAATAGCTGCTTGCAAGCTGCAACCACATGTCAAAATGCATGGACATGAAGCTCACATGTGCACAGGCCAGTAAATGGGGTTTGGGGTTTCTAATTCCTTTCTTTTTTTGAAACTGCAGGGGGGATTGCTATTGCTACTACACTGGATGATAAGAGCAGAGCCCTTGTAGTAGCTCCGCCCTGTATTTGCAGGGCGGCTCCCGTTTATGTGTGGGGAGCAACACCTGTTGGAAATCGTGCCCAGCGTTCCTTAAAGGTGTCCAGCGTTCCTTAAACCACCACTACCTTTTGCGCTGTTGGGAAAACGTGAAAATAATATCCTACTCCTGGAAATTTGGAGGCTGGGCCCGACGACTGCCTCCGTTGAATAATCTAATCGGCAGCCCTCGTTTCGTTTCGTTTCGTTTCATTTTGGTCTCCTGAAAGGTCGAAGGACCCCTCACTATTTTCGGAACGGACAAAGGTACTAGAGGTAGTGGTTTAACCCACCACTACCTTCTTCCCCCGAACATAACGCATATGCGTTGTAAACGGATACAACGCATAGGATGCGTTCTATTCGAATACAACGCATATGCTATTCTACTCGAATAGCCCTAAATTTTGAATACATCGCATATGCGTTCTATTCGATTTTTTTTTTCAATTTTTGAAAACCGAACACAACGCATATGTATGCGTTATGTTTGGGGGAAGTAGGTAGTAGAATTGGAAAACACTATTTGCAGGGTGGTGGAGTATGAAGGAAAAACGTACACAAGGAATGGAAATGGTAATGAGAGTGTCTGACCGAATCTTGGCCGCTGTACGAGGGTACTGGTACACCCTAAACCTGAAAGGAAACGGGCAATTCCTCCAAGGGGCTGTCAATCCAATGAGACCGACTGTTTCTTAGGACTTAGGGTAAATAGCCCCTTTGAAATTTTATTAGAAATGGCGTCTTGGATTTGTCAGGATTAGGAAGGAAGGTGGTTGTTCAGCGCCAGTGTCACTACCTTCTTCCCCCGAATACAACGTACGGTCATTATGGCTGTATTTAGACTGAAAGATACCCCAAATACAGCTATAATTACCGTACGTTGTATTCGGGGGAAGAAGGTAGTATGAACCCGCGGGTGCCTTGCCTAGCCACCCCTTAGAATTTGCCAGGCACCCGAATAGGACACCGGGTCACTATATCTGTATTTTGGGCAACTTTCAGTCTAGGTACAGTGAGAATGGTCCGTCGTTCTATTAGGGTGGAGACTGTAGTGGAGGTTGGTGGCCTTTGGGAGGGTGCAAGGATTTTGAGACCCCTCACTCTGGGGGGTTGTGGCTCTCATCTCCTTCAACAAACACATCTGAAAAAAATCATGCATACGGCCGTATGAGGTAAAAGTGGGAAAACTAAATACGAAAAAAAAGAACAACGAAATGGTTGGGTGCTCCACTTGTGGGACCACCCAGCAAACGTTTTTCATCTCACTCTAGGACCCTGGCGTAAATGCCATGCACAAGACTTCCACCGCCATATATCGTCACAAATATATAGGTGCATGCCTCCTGATGAGTCGGTTAAACTCCGACGAAACAGTTTGTCACAGCCCCTCGTTTGTTGTCTCCCTCTCTGCCTACAGTTTACTGGGCAGCTCTGTTTGAATATATATCCATATATTTATAGATGGGTACATATATGTATATATGTACATAAATATATATATATGTTGTCCTCTTCTCTCTCTCTGCCTACGGTTTACCGGGCAGTTCTATTTGTGACGATATATATGTATATTATATATACATGAATATATATATATATATGTACATATCACTCGTTGCCGCACTTATCCCATCCCCTGGCCAGTGAGACCTCCCTTCCCCTTTCATCAAATGGCACTAAGTCTGTGCCTTAAGTTTCGAGCCAGAAATCTAAGATCAATTTCTGACACATCTCCTGGGAAAGCTTCTCGACCTCCCTGGTGTGATTATTGCGACCAAAGAATCTATGGCATAGTACGGGCTAACTCACACTAGGGCCTTTTAGACTGATCTCTGAATGTAATTCAGGTCATATACATGCAGGACAGGCTGTAATGGGGATCATATACATCCACATCCAGGAACCTCTTGGGGCACACTCACTCTACGACTGCGGCAGTTCTAAACAATGCAAAAAAAAGCCTAACCCTGAACCCTAAACCCTAAACCCTACCGGCTACCGCTCTACTTCTATGAGGAAATCCTGCGGCAGCACTAAACACTGCAAAAAACCCTATTCCTAAACCCTAACCCTAACCCTAACCGTAACCCTAAACCCTAAACCCTAAACCCTAACCGTAACCGTAACCTGATACCCTAACCCTAGATCCTAGTAACCCTAACCCTAGATTCTAACTCTAGATTCTAACCCTAGATCATAACCCTAACCCCTAACCCCAAACCCTAAACCTAAGCCTGAAGCACAAACATAAACGTGGATAAGCGTATAGTCACACAGGACTTCCTGTACGTACCTTGTCATAAATGTGATCACCTTCAATCTGAGAGCCTAGTAAAGTAGGGTTTTTCCGTGAGCGGCGCCGGGCGCTGGCTGGCTAGGAAACGTTTGCTTGATGGTTCTGTCAGTGTTTGTTAATGATAGCGTAGAAGGTCCTGTTTCGCAGAGAAAGTGGGTGGTGTTCCTTGTTTTCAAGCTGAGTGACGGCACTATGGCTAAGCCGACCAAGCTGTTTGCAATCCTCAGGGAATCTACGCAACACATCTTACATATTCAATTTGGTTCGTGAAATGGACTCCCATCTACATCTACAATTTTTATACTATAGATAGAAACAGCTATTTGTCACAAGGAATGACCCGGATTGCAGGCCGATGACAACTGTGGATGCTGCAGATCTCATGCTGATCAGAAAGAATTCTGATCGCCCTGCCATCTGGGCCGTTTGCATGAACGGACAGGCGATTTTCTCATTGGTATGCAATGAAGGTTGTCCGGTCGGGAAGATGACCCAGATGGTCATGCGAATGGTACCTTTTGGATGGTACTGCCCTTTGCAACCTACCTGCAGTATGCGACCTACCTTCACTACCAGGCCTACCTTCCCTACACGACCTCCCTGTGCGACCTACATGCACTACGGGGCCTACCCTACACACCTTACCTGCACTGCCTGGCCTCTCGCGACCTACCCATGCGGCCTACCTGGGTAGATCTACCTACGAGGCCTACCTGCCCTACGCGACCTGTCTCCACCACCAGGCCTACCTGCTCTACACGACCTACCTACGTGACCTACCTGCACTACCGGGCTTCCCGCTCAACGCGACCTACACACGCGGCCTACCTGCGGAGCGCGACCTACCTACACGATCTACCTGCCAAGCACGATTTGTCGATGTGCCCTACCTGTGCGACCTACCGTACGCGTCCTACCTGTGCGACCTACCTACACAGACCTACCTGCCGTACACGGCCTACCCTACGCGTCCTACCTGTGCGACCTACCTACTGCTCTCGCTCGCACTCTCTCTCTCTCCATGCTTCAGGCTCTCATGCTACCTGCTTTGTGCTTGGAGCTATGTGCTGCGTGCTTCGTGCTTGGAGCTACATGCGACGTGTGCAAGTGCTATGAGCTACGTGCTATGAATCGGTGCAACTCTCCCTCATGGTTCATGCAGTGTGCTTAGTTGTAGGTGCTAACGAATTTATACAGCGTGCCACAATCACTCTCTCTTTTGCAACCCCCCCCAACCCCCCCCTCTCCAACGTGTTTCATGATTCGTGAACGGGTGCTACGTGAATTGGTGCTACGGTCGATGTGCTATGTCAGTTGATGCTACACTCTATGTGCTACATGAGTCGGTTCTACAAATCGGTGCTACTCTACGTGCTACGTGAACTGGTTCCACGAGTGGTGCAACGCGCTTGGAGCTGCATGCTATGTGCGGCCTCTCTCTCTTCTTTCTCTCTCTCCTCCCCTGCCTCTCTCTCTCTCCCCTCTCTGTTACATGCTACGTGAACGTGGTGGTTCGTGCTACTACATACTTTGATAACTTGGTGCAACCGTGAATGGTGCCTCTCTCCTCTCTCCTTCTCTCCTTACGTTATCCTTGAACTTGGTGCGTCGTGCTTCGTAAACTTCGACGGGGATTGGTGCTACTGAGCTTGAAGCTTTGTCTACTTAATGAACATGGACGGCTGGGCTGACGGATTGCACGTTGTTGGTTGGAGGCTTCGTCGACATGGCTGACTCAAGTAAGTCTTTCTCTCTCTCTTTCCTCACCTCCAACCAACGCACAACACCCACCGCTTCCCACCCATGTTTGCTCGTGCTCCAACCACCCCTTGGACTGTTTCTTTTTTTCTCCTCCCCGTGTTGACCGTCAAGCTGCTTGTGTGTGTGTGTGTGTGTGTGTGCGTGTGTGTGTGTG